AAGTTAAACTCTCTATTGTTGCCAATCTCTACATTCTTGATACTTGAAAATTGCTTGAAACTCTTGAAATCTGTCTTGAATCTTTCTTGAGATTGCTTTATACTTGTTCTTGAAATTGAAATCCAAAGGAAATGGATAATGATTATTGAAATCCTCATTATCTACATACTTGTCTGAAATTAATTCTTGCACTGTTCTTGGAATCTATTTTTAATTGACCTTGAAAACCATTCTTGTTCTGACACTGGTTCTTGTTCAAATTCTGTAAATTGCTCTTGCTCAAATCCTGCATATTTTGCTAGTTCTTGTTTTAGTGTACCTGTTAATCTTCTTGATTTTGATTTTGTTCATATGGACACCTTTTTAGGAGGGGTGATGATTATTAGAAGATACCTATATGAGGCATCCTCATTCTTGTCTCTTGCAAGTGTTAATCTCTGTGTTCTGGATGTCTTAGCTTTGACTTGACCCTAGGATGTCTAGGACAACTTGATTGTAAATCTACTTAGCTTCCATGGGCTACGAGGTAAAGGGGTAGTCTTTGAAATATCCTGATCCCCACTATTGATTATTTTGTTAATTAATTCGTGTTACTTGGGGTGTTAGATCTTGATATCTTGGTTATATCTGCTCTTGAATTCGTGTTCTGGTTGTCATTATTGAAATCTCTTTTGTAGGCCTAATTTTTGGAATTCTATTGCTTGTTTCATGGTTAACTCTTGTCTCTCAATTTGGACTGCTTGGTTAAATTTGATCTTGATTCTTAGTGAATTCCATTTTGTTGCTGAATATTTTAGGCATTCTACCTTGCACTTTTTATGTTCCAGTATTCTTCCAAGCATTCATATTTTCCACTGATTTTATTCTAGTGCAATTCTTGAGATTCTTATATGTCTTTTGATGGGTCTAGCTTTTAACTCTTGTTAATTGTTAAAATTTGTTTCTTGATTCCAGTTGCTTTGTTAAACATGACTTTGCTTATTGGTTAACTTTGTTGTGGCAGAATTTATAAGGCATCCATGCGCTTGTTCATTCATTCATGATCCATATATCCATTGGATGCTTATACGTCTTTGATAGAGTTCAAAGTTTTATTGTACTCATCTTTAAATCCATGCCATTCTTTGCTAACTCGTCTTGTGATGGGTTCGTAGCGTAACCCCACAATTGTTCTTTTGTGGCTTTGGCAGGATTTATTTTTATTCCTTGTGTTTCCCATATCACCCCAGCCTCCAGTAGCTTGTTTCATGTTAAATCCTGTTACGTAGTTAATGTTCTGTTTTTATGATTAGTTGTGGTTTGATATCAGAGTGGCGCAATGGAAGCGTAATAGGCTATGTTCGATTCATAAAGAGTTGGTTAGACATTTGTTGTCTTGGATTATGTGAAGCCATTTACCAGTCTAGATGATCCTCAATTTGAGTTTTGGGAACAAAACTCATTTTTAGGAGGGGTGGATGTAATACCCCAAAATTTTGTGATATTTTAGCATTAAGTTAAGGACTAAATTGTGAAAAAATATTGTTTTGGGATTAATAGCCAAGATGTCTAAACTTGAGGGACTTAAAGAGGGAAAATTTGGATAAGGATGAGCTTCTTTTCTTTTTCTTTCTTTCTTTCTTCTTCAGCCCGATTCTGGTCTTCTTTTCTTCCCCTGCACCGAGCAAAGAAAAAAAAGCCAAGCCGCCGGCACCAGCCTTGAGGAAAACCGATGAGAAAGCTTGGTTTTGGCCTTCTTTTCTTGTTCAAGAACAAGATTGGAGCTTTGAAACCTTCCCCCCCTGCAGAGAATTCCGGATCTGCTCTGCTCCTTCCTTCCTCACCGCCGGCTGCTCTTGATTGTGGGTGATTTCAGGGCATTTTTTCGGTAAGAAACAGCCATGAATCTCCTTTCTCTAGCTTTGAATTGCCTTGGGTTTACCTTAATTGCTCTGGGTTCCTTCAATTTTTGGTAGATTGCGTGAATTTCCCCCTGCACTTCCCGCCAGCTCTTCCCCAACTACAGCTCCAATTTTGCTTGTTAAATTCCGGTATGTGACAGCCCTCCAACCCCAAATTTGTCCGTTCATTTGCTGCCTTGAATCTTGAATTTTCTGCCTTTGATTTGCCCTTGTACTGTTCGGGAATTTCTGTTGAAATTGGGGATGAATTTTGGCAGCATTAAGTTATGTTTTAAGCTTGGTTTAGGTAGAGAAATTAGCTTGATTAGTTGCTGTGATTTTTGGAGAAATCCCGTGAATTAGCTAGTGTTTTGGCCGATTTTTGGAAGTGCAGTTACTGTTTATGGCACTGTTCACAGATTACTGTTCACACACCGAGGGTCAACAATTAACGGGGTTTTAAATGATTAATTTGTGATATAAGAACAAATTTGGAGATGTCTGGTAATGTGGAGATCGATAGAAAGTAGCATCGTGATGAGGGGTAGTGCTAATGATGATTTCACTTTGAATTTGTGATGGTACGGTATTAATTCTCGGATATTTTGATTAGGTTCTTGATCCTTGGGGTACTTTAGTACGTGAATTGAGTGCTCGGTTTTATGTGATTTGAGGTAAGTAAATTTATGGTAATGCCCATACAGTTTTTAAAAGCATGTTTTGATTTGTTTTGAAGTGGTGGCGGGACTAAACCTGTTTTACACAAGTATGATCGATTGAAATGAAATTTTTATGCTTTTTATTAAATTGAGCATGCCTACTTGAAATTTAATTGATTGTCCCAATGATTTGAAAGTGATTGGTGAATTATGATTTTTCTGTTAACTTCAGCCTATTTTGTCTCCGATGTGATCATGTTATTAATGACTCTGCTAGTGGGGGTTAAACGCTAGCACATGTCGACATGTTAGTGATAGAGCCGGTTTGTATGAGTGACCCTGCTAGTGGGGATTATACACTAGCAAATAGTGTGCCTGCCAGTGGAAGGTTTATAACATTGACCGTGACCTGTAGAGGAGACGTCTATTTCATTCT